CGTATCAAACATCTTAGGGATAATATGGAACAGGTATTTTTCATCAAGTATTGATATGTTGAACTTTAAGTCCCTACAGAATATGATAAAAAACATTTAAAAATTAGAATATATTTTAAAAATAGGCATAAAGAGCACCGGCTTGGGGGCCAGGGAGATGGCTCAGTAGGATAAGCGCTTCCCTGGCAAGCGTAAGGGCCTGAGTTCAATCCCTGGTTCCGGAGACTGAGGTTGAATAGCCACCCGCCTAACCCCAAACACCCCCGCACATATGGTTATCCGTTATAAAAAAAAAAAAAAAAAAAAAAAAGAGCACCGGCTTCTTTGAAGGCTCAGCCCTCGCGCACTGCCTGTAATGCTCCTGTCTAATTCTGCTGTCCCCAACACAAGGACTCCTGTCCCGATTGGGTTCTCAGTGGCAGCACTGATCCCTATGGTGGTGGTGTAGCCATGTGGCCACCCTGGCCCCTTGGGCCATGGCTGGCTGGGCTGCCGAGATGGTGGCGGTGGGGGGATAGAGCCCAGCTGCACACCCTTGCTTCTGAGGGGAGGTCAGCCTCATGCTGCTGGGCATAGAGCCTGGTCGGGGGTGTCCTTCTTGGCTCCACTGCTGAGAAACTCGAGCCCTGAGATCCGGTGGCCTGTGAGTGACAGTCCTGAGCCTGTCCGGTCCTGCTCTTAGGTGCCCTCTCCTGGCCACTTCAGGGGACATCAGGAGCGAGCCCTGTGGCTTTTGAGGATGACCTCAATTAAAAGACAGCAACAGCAAGCCTCTGCAGGGCCCGGGAAGAGGGGCTAAGTGTGGAGGAGAGCTGGATGCACTCAGACACCAGGCGTAGGGCCCCCATGGGAGCCAGTGACCTCCGGGCCAGGTGCCAACTACACAGCCGGGAGACCTGTGGGGCTCATGCACCCAGGTCCAATGCAGCAGTCTCCCTAACAGCCAGAAAGTGAGGACAGCCCACATGATCACTGGCTGCCAGTGGACACGGTGGGGCGTGTCCTATGTCCTTACGATGCAGTGTCAGCCAGCTGTACAAACTGCAAGCAGCACAGTGAACCTCAAGTTGGCTGCGCCACAGGGGCCCGGGAAACGTGAGGCCCAGTGATGGAAGCCATCGATGTGAAATGTCCAGCGTAGGGAAAGCCAAGGATGGAAGGTAGATTTATCGTGGTCAAAGGTGGGGAGGGGGCGTGACTGGAGATGCCAGTGGGGCTGTCGCGGCTCCCACAGGGTGACAGATGTTTTGGCACCTGGTGGAGGTAGTTGTTATCAACACAGTGATGTACTGAATGCTACCAAACTGCACACTTTACGATGGCGCTCCCTGGGTTAAGTGGCTGTCCCCTCATGGCCGGGAGGGGCAGCAAGGCGAGGGTGCACTGCTTTCCCTGGAGGTGTGCGTGGTGGTGCCCCTTCCCCTGCTCCCTGCCTGCCAGGTGCCTCCATCAGGGCCTGGTCCTGGGGGTTGTTTTTGCACCACTGCCTCAGTTTCCCCAAAGGCCTGTGCCTCCCCAGCAGTCTCACTGACGCAGCCGCCTGAAAAGTCAGGGCAGGAGTTCAGCGCTGTCCCTCACCCCGGGCTTTCGTCTCCGACTGTGCTTTGGTTTCGGTCTCCCAGGCTTGGGCCTTTCAGAGACGAGGCCTGCAGTGGTGGGCCCGGCCGTCACTTGCCCGGGTGCTGGAGGTTTGGGGCTAGGGCTGGGATGCTTTTCCCATTGCTCTGGATAACATGGAACGTTGTCCCAGTGCTCGGGGACAGAGCATGGTCATTCCCATTATATGAATGCAGCAATCTGGGCGCAGAAAGGCTCAGGGACCTGCCCGAGAGTGCATTCCTAGGAAGAGGCGGAAGCGGGATCGGGTGTGCTGCAGACGCGGGCTTTCAGGGGACGGCTTTACTCAAATTCATGGGGCCATTCAGGTTCAGAGTTTTGTTTTTAAAGCAGTAAAGGTTTGGATTGATTAAAATGCCCCCACCCAGTTCCCTCAGCCCGCATGTGGTGCTTCTGCGTGTGTGAGCCCGGGTGCCTGCGCCGGTAGACCCTGGAGTCACAGTGCGGCTCCCTGTTCTTGTCAGCAGCGGACCCGTGCTGCGCCGGGACACTGCTCTGTGGGTCTGTTGCGTTTTGGCCGTCTCACGCAGAGTTGCCTCTGCCACCTGGGCTGCAGCTCCAACGCCTGCCCTCCGTGATTGCTGTGTGCTGGCTTCTCTCTGACCCGTCTCTCTTCCTTTCCCAGGAAAATCTTTCCAAGACGAGGCAGGATGGGGAACAGCAAGAGCTGCTCGGAGAGGAGCTTTTGCTCCCAGTTGCTTCCTGAGGAGCAGGCCGAGATTGACAGGCTGTTTGATGCCCTGTCATCGGATAAGGACAGCGCGGAGAGCTCGCCCCGCTGCTTCTCTCTGAAGGCTCTGCAGGCAAGAATGACACCATTACTCAGGGCCAGTGTGGGGCCAAGGGTCTGCAAAGTATGGCCCTCGGGCCCAGGGGCACCCCAAGAAGCTGTTCTCTGTGCAGGGCCAGATGGCACGTGGTGCTGGCTTTGTGGCCCATGTAGTTCCTGTTGCAGTCACTCTGCCCCGGCAGTGCCAAGAGCAGCTGCCCCTGATAGCTAAGCAGACCCTCCCTCTCTGGAAGTCAGCACGGTGCCCAGTCTGCACTGGAGGAGGCACTTAGGGAGGAGCAGGAGGGCCGTGCTGTTGAGCATTTCCAACTCCAGGGGACGCCAGAGGGCCAGCTGGCTCCCGTCCCTGCTGCCCCATGTCTCCTGGCTGCTGTCCCCGAGTCCAGGTGACTGTCTGGAGCTAGGCCTGCCCATCTCAAGTGACTACAGCCTCTCGGGCACACCACTGCCTTGAGGACTTGGGTCTGACGTGAAGGAATTTGATGGTGAGCCTAATGCGGTGCTGGAGCCTCGCCTTTGGGGCTCCCCTTCCAGGGTTCCAGCTGCTGTTCCCATGTTGTGGCCCCATTCTGGGGGCTCTGAGCTCATGCTGCAGGGCCCTGACTGAGCAGGACATGGGTGAGGCTTCTGCTCCATCCCTGGAGGGGGTCGGGGGCCATTTTCTACCAGCCTGTTTTCTGACTTCTGGATGTGCAGACAGCAGTAATAGGGGTACAGGGCCCCCCACTATGCTTATTTTGAAGATGAGGACCTGCAGCTCTGTGTACCCATGTCTCCAGGTCAGCAGTGCAAGCCGCATAGGCACAGCCCACCAGCCAGTGGGCGCCAGGGCTGTAAGGTGGGCACCAAGCCCATGAGCTGGTTGCAGGACACGGGCTGTAGAGGACCAGGCGTCCTTGGCTCTGCTCCGAGCTGGGAAGGAATCAGAGGCTGCTTGGCAGGGGGAGGTGGGAAACACACAGGAACAGGAAGATGCTCGTGGGGAGTTCGCAGCCTGCCTGGCTAGGACCGCACAGTGCTGACGCTGTGGTGGCCAGCTGTCAGGGACCCTGTTTGCAGGGACTCACACTTCCTGCTTAGTTGTCATCCTGGCCAAATCAGATCTGACGCTGGAGGCCAAAAGGAAAGCAGCATTTACAGAGGGTCATTGTTTAGGCTGCTAAGAATTAAATTACGACTTTAGTGAGAAGAGTTAAAATGTGTGTGCACTGTCAGAACTGGGATAAGAAGTAAAGTTGAGACCCACTTGTTAACCCCTGAGGGAGAGAACAGCTGCCCTGCACAGACACGAAAGGTGCTAACGTGTCAGTGTGTAAGCAGGTGGCCACGTGGGGAGACTGGGAAGTGGGGAAGACAGGATAGGAATGAGCAGGAAGGGCGTGGTGACCAGGACAAGCTAGGACACTTCCAGGACATGGGTCTCTGGGGGATGGCAGTGGGGTGCAGAGGGGGCCACATAGCTGCAGGAAGGTTCCAAGGGACGGGGGCTGTGGTCCTGCCTGCTTCCTGCAACACCATTTTTTTTTTTTTTTTTTTTGTGGAACTGGAGATTGAACTCAGGCCCTTGCGCTTGCCAGGGAAGCGCTTATTCTACTGAGCCATCTCCCCAGCCCGAGCCACAATTTGGACCCTGCCCCTCTCTGGCATTTTCTCGCACTTGTCCCCAACAGAGCCATGTGGGGGAAGCGCTTCCCCAGGAAATGGTCACCAGACTCTATGACGGCATGCGGCAGGTGGATGTGACTAGTAGGACCCTGGGGCCCAGCAAGAGTGTCTCGCGGGAGCAGTTCTCAGCGTCGATGTCACACCTGCTAAAGGGGAACGCCGAGGAGAAGAGCCTTGTGATCCTGAAAATGGTTTCTGCCCGGGAAGGGCCTGTGAAGGCCAGAGAAGTACAGAAGGTCCGGTCTGGGTGTCCTTGGATCAGGCTCAGGACAGTGACAGCGGGTGGTGCTGGCATCATGGGACTCCTGGGCACATGACTGGTTGAGCTCAGGCTTCCAGTGTGGAAGCTTTGGTGACACCTCTCCACTGGGTGCCCTCTCCCACCCATGCCAGCTGTCACAGTGGGCATTAGCGAGAAAGCTGCCCGTTCCCACGGTGGCATGGGACAGTTCTCGGGTCATGGTGGAACTGTCACTCATGGTGCCATTGTGCCCTTTCAGTTCACAGAGGACCTGGTGGGCTCCGTGGTGCATGTGCTGGCCCACCGACAGAAACTGCGCGGCTGGGCTGGGACGCAGGCCACAGGTGCCCCGGTCAGGACAAAGGCCCTGGCCACCCATCTTGTCTCCGAGATGAAGCTTCCAGGTAAGCGTGCGCCCTGGTGGCGTGGGCTTCAGCGTCACGTGGTCAGTGACCTTACGTATAGCTGTGTGGTGTGGCTCAAAGTCAAGAAGTGAGCACCCTGCCCTTGTGCCACAATGTGGGGTTTCCTTAGAACCCTTGCTTGTGCAGGAGCAGCTGTGATGGCTCAGCTTCTGTCTCGAGTCGTTGAGTTCTCTGTTTTCCCTGGTCAGTCTGGCTAAAGCTGTCTCAGTTTTAATGTGCAATCAGTGTAAAAGAAATTGCTGAGATATACTTTTTTACGTATTTGGTGTAGGGTCTTGCTACACAGCTCAGACTCATAGTGATCCTCCTGTCTTAGCCTCCCAGTGCTGGGATTGCAGGTGTGAGCCACCACGCCTGGTTGGTGGCTCTTTGCAGTCATTTTTTATACTGCAAATTGGTTGGAATCGGTGGATGTGCAGTGCATCTGTTTTGACAAACCTTCTGCCAGGTGACCTGGCCATGTGTGACTCATGCCTCCTGGGTTGGCCGAGGCAGGATTAGGCGGTCAGTGCCAGTGATGCCTGCCCCAGTGACACTGACTGTCCCTCGCCTAGGTGGTGAGAGGCCTCAGGGGCCTCAGTGGCTGGACCTTGACTGTGACCAAGGCGTGATCGAGGACTGGGTCTTCAGGGTCCCCCACGTGGCCATGTTCCTGAAGGTGGTCATCTGCAGGGGCCTTCTCATCTTATGCGGGTCCCTTGACGTGGCCACGCTGGTCCCCGAGCGCCAGGTGGAGCTGGGCCAGGAGCTGGAGAGCCTGCTGGACGCGCCCGCTGTCCTCTTCCTTGGCTCCCACCTGGCCCCGGAGCAGCGGCAGCGCTGGCGCCTGCTCTTCTCCTCCCACCTGCACGGGCAGAGCTTCTCGCAGCTGTGCGGCCGCATCACTCACCGTGGGCCCTGCCTGGTCCTGCTGGAGGACCGCGATGGCCACGTGTTCGGGGGCTTCGCCTCCTGCTCCTGGGAGGTCAAGCCGCAGTTTCAAGGTGAGACATGAAGCCCTGTCCCTGTGGGGTGGTGCAGAGAAGGGACAGCAGCCTCTCCACCTTGTTTCCTGAACCCGCTTGGGTGCTAATATGTGATGCTGCTAGAGGGTGCTGCGGGGCACCACAGATCTCTTCCGTGGCCCTTGCAGTGGGGTGATGAGAGCAGGCGAGGACAGAGCCTGACCTGCACGTGGGGCGAGTTTGGGCTGTGGACACTCAGGAGGGGCTGGGAGATGGAACGTGTGTGTCTCTTCTGCCCCATCAGTGTTGTGGTTTTGTTGGAATCTTGTGTGACCTCTTGCCTGGATGGAGGAGGGTGAGGGGCCAGGGCCTCTGGCCCCGCTGCTTGTTTCCAGGGTTGGATTCATTGTTGGCTTTCAGAATGTGCTGGATCTTTAGCTGCGGGAACGGCTGGAACCCTCCCCGAATCCAGGTTCCTGGGTGCCGGCTGACCTTGTAGGCAACCTTTCTGGGTTAAATTGTCGTCTTGGGCTCCTCTGCCTGCTTATCCTCCCAGCCTGTGTCCTAGCATAGGGTGACCTCCCTGGCAGCCCAAGGGGGCTGCGTGGCCTCAGGACACAAACAAGCCCCAAGAATCATAATTGCATTGCAGGCAGGGCTCCTGCCACCTCCAGAGCCTGTGATATCAGCTCCAGACTCTGTTGCCACCAAGGTACTGACACCTCACCTTCCTGCTGAGTGCAGACCTACGCGAGCCTTAGTTTCAGCGTGCAGAAGGAGCCCCAGCAGAGGTCAGCTTGCCCTGTGGGTAGCCTAGCCAGGATGGGTATCAGAGCACAAAGCCCCTGGTCTGCAGTGTTGAGTGGGTAGACAGCTTTGAAATGACCCAGGGCTGTGCCACTGGCAGATGGGATCATGGCTCTCAGCTCTTGCCCTGGGCGTGGTGCCCGCTTCTCTGGGCCTCAGCTCCTGAATTCCGGACTAGCCCCATGTGGGCAGGTGGCAGGGACAGGATTGTGGGCGCACCAGCAGCTGTGTTGTGTGGTTGGTCGGGAGCCCTCACTGTCAGCCTAGGTTTTGTCAGGTACATTGCCTTGGTGAGTCCTCGTCCTGTGTCCTGACAGTCACAACCCTGTGTGGCTTCCGCTGTAGGCAGAATCCCATGGGGACAAGGGTGTGACTGTTGGCCCTGTGGGCCTCATGGTGGCTCTGTCAGGCTGCTTAGCGTGGGGTTCCAGTGAATGCTGGTCATCAGCCCCCTTGTCAGGGCAGAGCACAGTGGTCTTCTCCGAAGTCCAGTGCCGGAGCGCGCAGAGGGCACTTGGGGCCTGGCGGGTGCACAAGCTGCCCCAACCTTGATGGCAGCAGCGCAGCTCTGCTTGGACGGGAGGCTGCGGTGTTGTGCACGCGCACCCTGACAGCTCCCCAAGGTCCCCCGGGCCTCTAGCGCACCCCCCATGTGCATTTGTGCCCCTGCTCTCCTTCCCCCAGCTCCCCTCTGCCTTGCAGACGGCACGGCACTCAGTCGCCATGGGTGCCCGTGTCCGTGGGCCCCAGGCAGTGCGGGCCTCAGACAGTGTGAGCCTGGGACGCTGCGACGTCTGCCCCACCGAGGGGTGAGGAGGCCTTGCTGTTGCCTTTCCTGAGCCGAAGCCCTTGTGCCCGTCACAGGCGCAGTCATCTTGTTCATTTGCTTCCTGTCACTTCTAGGGGACAACAAGTGCTTCCTGTTCTCCATCACCCCCAGCATGGCCGTGTACATGCCCACAGGCTACAACGACCACTACATGTACCTGAACCACGGGCAGCAGACCATCCCCAATGGACTGGTGAGGAGCGGGCCAGGCTGTGCGGGTGGTGATGGGTCAGCAGGGCTGTGGGCACAGCGTCCCCCACCGGTGCACAGCCTGGCACCTTCCCTCTTCCAGTCAGCACACCTGCTGCGTGGTGTTCTGCTTCTCCTGTGGCAGTGTCCCCTCATTGTGCCCTGGTCTTGGTGCTAGGACTGTGATACCAGCCAGGGTTCCCCTCAGGGAAGGTTGAGGCCTTGGCTGGGCTTCTCTGTATTGTAGGCAAAGGTGACACTGGGCCTAGCTGGTCTGTGACTTTTATGGCCTGAAGTAGTGTTGGTGACAGACCTGTTACTGGAATGACACCTGAGTGTGAGACCCCAGGGTGTTGGCCCGGACTCTGGGGACTTGTGGGGGTCCAGCTGGGGAGACTGTAGTCCCTGGCTGGTCTTGCCTAACTGATGACCCAGTAGGAAGGAGAGGAAGAGTGTGGAGGCCGAAAGGGCCTGAGTGGGTCTCGTGGTGGGGTAGGCGGGCTATGTGTGGCCGTGTTCTAGTCCCTTTCCTGATACCCATGACTTAAGGCGGGGTTTATTTAGCTCACAGTTTCAGAGGGTTCAGTCCAAGGTTGGCGGATTCCAAGGCCGGGAGGCATGGTGGAGGGGCCTGGTGGAGGACAGTGCTCCTAGCAGGGTGGTCCACAAGCAGAGAGGAGGAGGAGCCACTCCCAGCTGGCTCCCTCCTGACAGCACCTCAGCCGTGAGCTACTCGTTAGATTTTTACAGCACCCCAGGATCCAGTCACCCTACAAACACGAGGTTCCTGGCGACATTTTAGATCTAAACCCTGACAGAAAGACGCTCATCTGGGGCAGGAGCTGTGCCTCCCCTGTCCTCTCTTCTCCACTGGTCTCCCTCTGGGGATCCCCAGCCCTGTGCTTGCAGGGGCTGAAGAGGCACTGCCCTCAGTTGACTGGAGGGGGCCCCCCTGCTACTCCAGGGGGACATGACCAGTCCCCCAACGACATGGGCGAGATCCCTGTCCTTGGAGCAGAGCCCTGTGTGTCTCCAGAAGCTGCTGGTCACAGGCCTAAGGAGCTGAAGTGGCTCTAGCAGGAGCAGCGGACTCTTGCTTGGGGCTCGCCCCACCCCAAATTGGAACCAGGGTGCACCCGGTGCTCCAGGACCCTGGGGACCAGAGGTGGGGTAAGGATGCGTGCAGGAGGCTGACTCAGCTTTCCCTCGCCTGTCTGCTCTTGTTCTCTGTCCTGACACCCAGCACAAGGTTGCTGCGCGCCCGCCCAAGGGTTGTATCCTGTGGCAGGGCTGTCCGGTGTTGCCTGTGTCCACCTCTCCCCTGTGTGATACTCCGGGGCCTGGGAGTTACTGTACTTCACCCTCGTGAGAGTGCTGTGCTGTGGGTGTCGGGGACACCCTGACTGTTCTGGTAATGTGGCACAGGACACACAGACAGCACTGCTCCAGTCAGCAGCCCAGAACAGGACAGTTGCGCTCCCCACCCCGCCTGGGTCTCATCTCGGGCTGGCTTCACATCCCCGCAGTCCTGGCCACGAGGTCGCTCATGCCACACTGTCCTGACTCCTCCACAGGGCATGGGAGGTCAGCATGGCTACTTCGGACTGTGGGTGGACTCTGACTTTGGGAATGGGCACAGCAAGGCCAAGCCCACGTGTACCACATACAACAGCCCACAGCTGTCCGCTGAGGAGAACTTCCGGTTTGAGAAGATGGAGGTGTGGGCAGTTGGAGACCCCTCAGAGTCGGAGCTGGTGGGTACTTTACTAAGTGGGTGGAGGGGCACTTTCTCCACGTTCTTGGCTCTTCCCCTTGGCTGCTACACCTGCAGCTGCTTTGTCCAGGGAACCTGGGAGACACGGGGCGCAGTGGGTGGGTGATGCGATATTCAGGAATCAGGGTCTGCTGCTGTGTGTGCCGCAAACCAGGCACTGTGGGGTTCCCTGGCTCTCCCCTTGCAAGAGTCGTTTGGGGCCGCACACTCCTGGAACCACCTTGTAAACCCCAGCATTGCACCCAGCCGGGAGGGCCTGGGGGAGCCCCGGACCCCTTCGGCACACAGCCCCAAATCCTGCCTGGTGGGGGAGGCTGCTGTTATCTGCATGGAGCCAGCACCCCCACCCCTTCTGCCCAGCACC